TCACCAAGTTGCCCAGGCTGGTCTTGAACCTGTGGGCTCAGGCAGTCCTCTCACCTTGGCCTCCCAGAGCGCTGGGATTATAGGTGTGAGCCACTGTGCCAGGCCTTACTTGTTTGTTTGTTTTTAATATGATTTTTTTCTTCCCAATTACCTGGTTATTGATTTATTTGTTTGCTTGTTTAATTTTGCTTAGTGCCAGACATTATATATGAAAAGTTATAGTATAGAAGTACTTTCATACCTGGGATGATGTTTTTTCCCTGCAAAGGGCATCTTGCTTCTCTTCTGCAGGCAGCTTGGGCCTCTAGAATCATGATCACCTGGATCTAGTTTTAGGAAGGGTCAGTCTGGAAGCAGAGTAGCTTCCAGTCACCTTGATGCACAGCCAGTCTGTTTCAGCTTTGATTACTCCAACACAGGGCTTCTTAACCTTGGCACTATTGACATTTTGGGCCAGATACTTCTTTGTTGGAGGGGGCACTCTTGTGTATTTTAGGAAATTTAGCAGAATCTCTGACCTCAACCCAGACTCTGGTAGCAATCCTCCCACATAAGTACACCAAGGGGTGGGCATGGTGGCTCTGACCTGTAATCCCAGCACTTTAAGAGACTGAGGCAAGAGGACTGCTTGAGTCCAAGGGTTTGAGACCAGCCTGGGCAATTTGGTAAGACCTCGTCTCTACAATAAATAAATAAAAATTAGCAGGCATGGTGGCAAGCGCCTGTAGTTCCAGCTATTTGGAAGGCTGAGGCAGAAGGATTCCCAGAGCCCAGAAGGTCAAGGCTATGGTGGCCTTGAACGTGCCACTGCACTCCAGCCTGGGTGACAAAATGAGACTCCAACCCCCCAAAAATAAAATAAGCACATCAAGTTGGTACAGCTAATAATGCCCCAAACATTATGAAATGTCTGCTGAGGGGCAAAGTGATTTCAGTTGAGAGATCTAGCATGTGTTGGAGTCCAACTCAGAATGTGTGAGGTGTGTCAGGTCTCTCCTTGGCAGGCCATGGAGTCCAGTTTTTAATCCCAGTGGTTCTGTGACTGTCAAAAGGGATTATCTAATTCATGAATTTTCTATCAAAAGCAGTTATGAGAAAAGTACTTTTGACACTTAGAAATGTAAAACATTCATATGTCAGATACCCAGCATATTATTAGCAATCTAGAAATGTTATGTGGCCCAGCTCAGTCTCTTGATATTAGATTAAATGTTTTATACTAGTTATTGTACTTTTTATTAGTAATGTTCCAAAGCTATACTGAATTTTTTAAAACAAAAATAGATGAGATAACTGACCATATAGAATTAGCACAGTAGTTGTTTTCCTTTTCTAGGTCACCTACAATGGCTGGAGGATTGTTTGCCATGAACAGGCAGTATTTCCATGAACTTGGACAGTATGACAGTGGCATGGATATCTGGGGAGGAGAAAATCTGGAAATATCATTTCGGGTAATTTTATTTGTTTAAATTTTATCTATGATCCCATTTTTTGTTAATTGTGCTTGATTGTTATTGACAAACTGTTCTAATGAATGAGACTTTATTTTACTTTAATCTATATGTTTAATATCCATTTACAATGTCAAAAGCATCTCTGGTGGTCTTTTCCAGTGGCTAGAAAAAGAAATGTCAAATGCATATGAGAAGCCATTTACTTATTAATTAATTCACTTATTATTATTTTAAAAAATAGATTTAGAGGTATAAGTGCAGTTGTATTACATGGATATATTGACAGTGGTGAGGTCAGGGCTTTTAATGTAACAGACACCTGAATAGTGAACACTGTACTCAATAGGTGGTTTTTTAATCCCTCACCCGCTTCCCACCTTCCCACCTTTTGGAGTCTCCAGTGTGTACTATTCCTCTCCGTAAATATATTTATCTTTAAGAATTATAAAAGTATGGTTGTAATGAATGGTTGGGTCTAAAGTCAGAAAGTTTTTTTTAATTTTAAAGATATGGGGTACAATTCAGGGTTAGGTATACAAGTGGGCATCATACAGGTAAAGTTTGGGCCTCCCTTTGATGCCCACTTTGCCTAGTTTGAGATCAGTTACCCTTATTGATGTTGTGTTCCCACCACCCCCACCCCGGCAGTATCCCGCTGCTGACAATTCCTTTCTTAAAGTATTATAGTAATTGTTCAGGATCTGCTTATTAGAGAACATGTGGTACTCTGTTCTTTGTTTCTGTGATAGAACACTGAGTATGATTGACTCTAAATCCATCCAAGTTGCTATGAAGTCCATATGTTTGTCCTTTATGGCTGCATAATATTCCATTGTGTATATGTACCACATTTAAAAAAATCCAGTCCAGTTTCAATGGGCATCATAGTTGGTTCTATGTTTTTGCTATTGTGAATAGTGTTGCAATAAACATGCATGTGCAGGTATCTTTTTTGTAGCATGATTTGAGTTCTTCTGGGTATACTCCAAGCAGAGGGATTGCTGGGTCATATGGAAGATCAATTTCTAGTTCTTTGAGAAATTACCACAGATTTCCAAAGACAGAAAGCCTTAATGTGTGTTTAAAGTTTCTGTTTGTCAGTTTATTTATGGATTCATACTAGACATATATAGCTAGGGCGATCAAATGTCCCTGCTTGCCTAAATCTATCCAGGTTCATACTTGTTCTCCTGGAAAAATTGATAACTAGTTCACCTTCAGAAATAGCTCATTTTGATGCCAAATCATGCTATCACCCATGTGTAACTTACTGAATTCTTGCTGTATACAGGTCCTCTATCTTGAGGAAGGAAGTTACCATCCACAATCTCTCTTCTTCACCAGTTATTAAGATTTGAAAGATGATGGTATGGGTGGGGTGTGTGGTGGTAGACAGTCTTTGGAAAAGGCAGAAAGAGGGCAAGTAGGGAACATAGGCTTCTTCCTGGCAGATGTCCCATTATTTCTTGCCTCCTGTCTCCTGGTTTACCTAGCAATCCCTGTCAGATGTTACCATGATACTTGTGCATATGTCGTTTTGTATTTTTGCAAATGTTTTGACTACAGTATTTTTTTTTTTTGAGTTGGAGTCTCACTCTGTTGCCCATGCTGGAGTGCAGTGGCACTCTCACAGCCACCTCAGCCTCAACCTGCTGGGCTTAAGGAATCCTTCCGCCTCAGCCTGCCAGTTAGCTGGGACCACCATGGTGGTGCATGCCACCACTCCCAGCTAATATGCTTTTGATTTACTGTAGAGATGAGGTCTCACCAAGTTGCCCAGGTTGGTCTCAAACCTGTGGGCTCAGGCAGTCCTTTCACTTCTGCCTAAACCTGTGGGCTCAGGCAGTCCTTTCACTTCTCCCTCCCAAAGTGCTGGAATTACAGGCATGAGCCACCGTGCCCAGCCAACTATGGTATTTTTAAAAGGCAGGTTTTTCTGTAATCTTTATAATTTTACTATTAGTTCAGTCTTCTTATTTTTTAGTTAAGTTAATTAAGTCTCACAAAAATATAGCTTGTTTTACATAAGTTACTTTAACATAACTGTAAAGTAATTCAGATAGTCAAGGACAATGTAGACCAAAACTAAGAAGCTCTTTGGAATGTTAATATGGCATTTTTCTGTATATTTTGTTTAAAAAAAACCATTTTATAAAAAAGTATATACACTTCATAGGAAAGTACCTGTTGTACTGAAATTAGAGGACCAGTTAACAAGCATTCCTTGTCTCTAAGTCCATAAGGTCAAGTCTCGATCTGTTAAAGCAACAAAGTATAAGTGCAATTGCAGACACATAGTAGTAAATGGATAATACATTGTTTTAGAATTTAGTTTCTTTTTAGTCATAAGGGCAGGCAGTTTTTAACAGTGAGTATCTTCTGTCTTTCCTCTATTTGAATATATATATCTAGTAAGATAAACTATCTTGCCAGGGTTCATAAACACCTATTTAATGAAGATTAATTTCGTAAAAATTTGTATGTTGACTTCACAACGTGTGAGGCAGCTGTTTGATACCTGTTTTGCTTCTGCCAGATCTGGATGTGTGGGGGGAAGCTCTTCATCATTCCTTGCTCTAGAGTAGGACACATTTTCCGAAAAAGGCGACCCTACGGATCTCCTGAAGGCCAGGATACCATGACACACAACTCTTTGAGGCTGGCACATGTCTGGTTGGATGAATACAAGGTGAGATCAGATATCTTGCTTGGAAGGATGGCTGATAGGCCAGTCACTGCCTTGGTGACACTTTTGTTGCTTTTCTTCTCACTCTTGCATGAGTCTGTTGACTTTCACTTGAAGACCATCATTTCTAGGTTTCCTTTTTCTCTCTTTCCTTCACCTGGTATTTCACTTGTTTTTAATCTGACTCTTAATTTTCTAAGTGGCTGCTCTGTAAGAGGTAATGCTGCCAACATCAGAAGAAATTGTCTTTAGTTTATTCATTCCTTCTGATTCCTGTCCTGTGACTGTGACTCCCACAAAGCTTGGTTTCTTTCTTTTGCTGATTGGACTTTGCTGTGACCCAGTCCCACTGCCTCCCCTGCATATTTAGAATCCCTACCTGCTTTCTCTTTTGCCTTAGGTCACTTTATATATTTTCTTTGTAACAGCTTTACAAATTACTTTTGGAAGATTTTATCACCCCAGAAACTTTCAGTCATCACTCCCATCTCCCCATCTCCCCCAACCTTAGTCAGCTACTAATCTACCTCCTGACTCTACAGTTAATTTGCCTTTTCTGAACATTTCATACACATGGAATCATACACACTATGTGGTCTTTTCTGCTTGGCTTCTGTCAGACCCAAGGTTTTCAGGTTCATCTATGTTGTATCATGTATCATTACTTCATTCCTTCTTATTGCTGTATACTTTAACATTTCACCAATATACCACATTTTACCCAACTGTTCATCAGCTGATGAACATTTGGGTTGTTTCTGCCTTTTTACTATTATGAGAAATGCTGCTGTGAATATTATGTACATTTTTTGTTTTGAGTTGGAGTCTCACTCTCACCCAGGTTGGAGCACAATGGCATGCTCATGGCCACCGCAGTCTCCACCTGCTGGACCCAGGCGATGCTTCTGCCTCAGCCTTCCAAGCAGCTGGAACCACAGGCACATGCCACCATGCCTGGCTAATTTTTTATTTATTTATTGTAGAGACGAGGTCTCACCAAGTTGCCCAGGCTGGTCTTGAATCCCTGGGCTCAGGCA